AGAGAGAGAGAGAAAGAGACGGAGAGAGAGAAAGAGACGGAGAGAGAGAGAGAGACGGAGAGAGAGAGAGAGAGAGACGGAGAGAGAGAGAGAAAGAGAGAGAGAGAAAGACACGGAGAGAGAGAAAGACACAGAGAGAGAGAGAGACGGAGAGAGAGAGAAAGAGAAAGAGAGAGAGAGACGGAGAGAGAGAGAGAAAGAGAGAGAGAGAAAGACACGGAGAGAGAGAAAGACAGAGAGAGAGAGAGAGACGGAGAGAGAGAGAAAGAGAAAGAGAGAGAGAGACGAGAGAGAGAGAAAGAGACGGAGAGAGAGAGAGACGGAGAGAGAGAGAGAAAGAGAGAGAGAGAGAAAGAGAGAGAGAGAGAGAGAGAGAGAGAGAGAGAGAGTTATATCTGTATATATTTATATTATCTTGTGTGGTTTGTTGTATATAAACATATAAATGTTTGTATATCTGGAGCGTGTAACAAAAGTAATTTCCCTCTGGGATTATTAAAGTATGTCTGATTCTGATTCAATTACCCTGTTAAAGGAACAGTTTTCTAGAATCCTGGATGATAACTTCCTTATACTTAATTTTATTAGTTGTATAACTAATGGTAACAGCAATGGCGTGAGGATACAACAATAGGCCCATAAGCAACATTATCTGGGTGTGCCCCATATAATGTACAACATTACATACATTGTTCTTTTAAGATCTTTATTGCGGTTTAAAACATATTATATGAGTGTATTTTTTTACCAACTGTCTAATGAACTATACACAGTTATTAACATAGTAATTAAAAGTGCCACTGTCTGCCTTGCTATTGGTGTCGTGTTTAAACGGCTCACCATCATGTTGAAATCTGGCATGTCTTGGGGTATAAATAAGGTAGAGTCAATCAACAAAGTATCAGGTGGGTTTAGGAGGATTTTTTCGCACCATTATATCTGCGAAGAAATGACCTAGTCTACAATTGCGTAACGGGGTCAACCAGGTGTCAGTGACGGGGCTCCTAAGAGGTTGGGGGCCCCTAAGCAACTGCAGACCCTGCTTACCCATATTAAGCCATTGGGTAACAGTGTCAAATTTAACTTTGCATCATCTTGAAAAATGTTTTATCGTGGTACGTGGTGAATAACAAGTTGATGCAGCACCGAGTACAACCACAAAGAAATGAATTGTCTGTATAAAACAATTATTTTAATGTTTTTTATTTTTTAGATACAAGCAGGTCATAAAGAAAATAGCTTAAATGAATCAAAACTAAAAAGAGTTTATTTTAAAAATGTAAGGAGTAGAAAGTACAGATAATTGTAAAAAAAAAAAAAAAATGTAAGGAGTAAATTAGTAACACTAGTAGCCAACGTTTCTTCTTAAGTAAGTAAAAAAAAAAAGTATTTTTACTTGGTTACTTCACAGCTCTGTTCATAAGTAGGCAATATTAATTCAAGGATCCCATTCCAACAGTGAGGCATGGTGGAGGAGAGGTAATGATTTGGGCTTGTTAAAGCCACAATACCTGGGCACCTTTCAGACCACTTTGTCACCTTCACTGTGTTGGTAACAAAAGATTAAAATAGCAGCAGAATACACAATTAATCAAAGCACATGTGCCATTGTGTAGCATCTGCATTTGACAAAACATCACAATTCAAAATTCTAATTTTCTTTAATAAGAATACTTTATGCAACAGGTTTCTAACATGAGGGAGAGTCTAGCAGGAACACTGTGTTTTAGAAAATTTGCATCATAACAAGTTTCCTAAAATATAAATTATTGTTAAATAATTTTTGAAGATATATATATATATATATTTTTTTTACTAGTGATCATTTCCCTGCAGGTCTAAACCAGACTATAGCTCACTTTGCAATGTTTTCATAAGCTCTATTATTTTCTTGGAATCTTCTAAGTTTGAAGTTGCACTCTGTAAATGGTGTCTTTATGATAATCTCACACTAGAAAGAAAATTAAATTTTTACTTACTGATATATATTGTCAAATTATGTTATGTAGCAATGAACTTAACATGATTTTTGACTCAGATAAAGTTACAAAACAAAGTTGAAAATTCTGATTACCTAATTGTCAGGAACGAAAAAAAAAATGTATTCAAGCTTTGTTAAATAATTTCTGATCCTTTGTGATTAGCTGCTTTTTGTCATCTGCTAAGCGACGCTTTTCTGCACATGTTTTTGCAGGCAGATTTCCAACAGCCTTTGTTTGATAATCAGGTGAAGGTGCACTCTGTTGCATCACATGAATCCCTGCTCCACTCCTGTCACGTGTCTATTAAACATACACAGTGCCTCCTATATAATGCAATCAGTGTGAACCAGAGAGCTCAGAAAGTGCTGCTGGGTAGAGGGAAGCCTGCATACTGTCAAGAGAATCATGGAGTTTTATACAACACTGCTCCTGGCAGGGCTAGCGGCTCTGCTTTGGTTCCTTTTTGCTCAAAACCAGCAGAAGTACCGTCTCCCACCTGGACCCAGACCACTGCCACTCATAGGAAACCTTCTGAAAATAAACAAGAATGCACCTTTTAAAAGCTTCGTAGAGGTGAGTTGATATGTAATTATTCTTGCAACTATTTGCAAAAAAAAAAAAAAAAATGATTGCATGGTTTATCTCACTTAGTAAATGTTTAGCTTTTCTTTTAAAAATATGCTAAAGATTTAAAATGATCCCGTGCTTTTCCTTTAGCTCAGTAAGACCTATGGTCCTGTGATGACCGTATACTTGGGCTGGCAGCGGATGGTTGTTCTGGTAGGATATGATACAGTGAAAGAAGCCTTGGTAGACCAAGCAGATGACTTCATAGGCAGAGGTCCTCTGCCAATTTTGGTAAGAGCCACCAGAGGATTTGGTAAGCACTTAAATATGATCTTTTTTGCAAAGTGTTAGGATGATTTTATTGATAACGTGATAGTCTGTTAAACCCTAAAAATACCTGCCTTTTACATGTCAAAACTAATGTTTTACCAAGTAGTTAATCTAATAGTTCCTTCATCTTCATTATGCACGTAGCAAAGATTTGGGAATGGCATAAGAGCAGTGACTTTGGTCTAAAAACATCCATCCATCCATCTTCTTCCGCTTATTCGGGGTCGGATCTCGGGGTAGCAGCTTCAGGAGGGAGGCCCAGATGTCCCTCTCCCCAGCAACTTGGGCCAGCACCTCCGGGGGAATCCCAAGTCGTTCCCAGGCCAGCCGAGAAACATAGTCCCTCCAGGGTGTCCTGGGTTTTCCCTGGGCCTCCTCCCGTTGGGATATACTCAGAACATCTCACCAGGAAGAC